GAACAATAAAAGATCAGGGATTAAGAAGATAAAAGATAAAGATTGGTATTCTATTTAAGTTTTGAATATCAAAGTTCACTAAAAAGCAATATACCGGAAGAGAGTGCCACAAACATGCAGTGCAGGAGAAGAAACTGTTTGCATAGAACCTACAGCTACATCTAGCCATTTTAACTGTAAAATGATGAGACCAAATATAAACTTCAAATTATTCCAAATATCCATTTTCTTACCAAACCTGTGAGCTCGTTCATATTTTATAAAAAAACAATACCATTTCTCAATGTCTCTGGGCAATTTTCTTTCAACAACTCCTGTAATCGACACAGCATGTTACACTATATTACTCATTGGCTGTTTGACCCTTCTTAAGGTAGTCAGACATCTAAATACTTTCGTCATATCACAAGAGTTTTAAATTTGTTCGGCCATAGAGGACCCACGTGTCGCCACTCGATAGACTATTGTTTGATCTTTGTATCATTATGTTGTAACGACAATCTTCTATCAACAGTGGTATGTCGTTCAAAAGAATTAGCACGAAATTGCTGCAAAAGCTATTCGAAAATGTCTACATTTCTAGCCAGCATTTAATACTTTGGCGATCACTTGGCTGACAATTTCTACATATCTATCACTTTCAGTGATAGTCTTAGTCGAGCATTCTATCACTAACAATGCAACCAAGTATTTTGGAGAGTTGACAGAAATTTGGGGAACAATGTCACGTGTGGTGAGCTGATGGTTAAATATGTGGCATTCCACTCTTTGTCTTGTCAAGAACCATTTGAGATATCCTTTGTAATGAGGCCAACATTAGACAATCAAACCACATATAGGGACCGTACTGGATGCTTGAAAAAGTTATAAAAGTCAGTGTTATTGTGTCTTTGTTTTCTCTAAAAATTAAATTATCAAAAAGATGATTGTCCGGAAGACTGGCTCTCAATTTTTTCTTTCCTCTTGTGTTGTTCACTGATTTAGATGTTGAATATCTTTATGGGATCTAAGTTGTAACTTATTTAGTTTTTTCGTTTTTTTTTTTTTTTAAATATTTCGCTAATTCGCCGAATCATGAATCGACATACTAGAAAATAATCTTACATCATCAGCATGTGGACTGACAAGCGTAATTATGCATTATGCAGGATGGGCTTTTTTACTTGCGGCGTTTGTGATCTTGAAAAACATGGCGATTAGTAATGAAGTTGATTCAGTGCACGCCAGATATGGTTCGGAATTAGTACTAACAAGAAGTCTTAAAGTAAACGTTTGTGTCAGTGGTAGATGACCAATTATTTGGTGCCATACAGCTGAGTGATTACTACATCAGCTCTTATATTTGTATTCTTCTTTGGTTTCTTATTTCTCTTAACAACATTTGTACTATCCACCAAAGGTTTTTTTTTTTTTTACTTTAATTTATAATTCTTTCTATTTTATGTCTCAGAATATATGAAACATTCTCCAAAAATAATTACCAGAACTATTTCTCTTATAGGATTAGTGAGGTAAAATCTGCGTTCGATACGAATGCGCAATAGAAATGTGAAAGAAAATATTTAAAAAATGAAATTTTCTTTAGAACGAAACACTTAGGAACTGTTATTCAATATTTATCCGCCCTCCCCCCCCCCGTATCAGAATGAATATTGAACAATTTCCTTACCGATGAAGAAGAAACTGAAGGTTAGAAAGATGTGATTCTCATGAGATTCTATGAAAGGACTATATGAGTAATGAGGCTGTTTTAAGACAAATGGAAATAAAAAGAACATTTTTAATTAGAATAATCAAGAAACTGTCGAAATTTCCGAGGGAAGAGGGTTTGAAGAATTTGACATTCACAGGATATTATAGAAGCAGGGGAAACAGAAAGAAAACATCGAGGGATCTACCTAACGAGCCATTGTAAATGGATGGCAGAACAGAAACTGGGGCGGAGAGTAAGTGGGCGAAAATTGTTTAAAGCAACAAGGAATAGGAAGTTGTAGAAAACCATGATCGTCCATGTTCTGAAGGGATACAACAGATAAAAGAATGAGATGATGAAGCTAAGACAGTTAAACCGATTTCAAGACCAAATCTCCCTTTTGTCAAAGACGATTTGGAATCAAGTTGGTTTGAACGACTAATGCTCTCTCTGCCATTTCAGGGCAGCTGTTCCAATATGTGCAGGTTCAACTTGCCTCAGTTTGAATAGATTTCTATAAAAACAGTTTTTCAAGGTTTACACATCTCCAAACAAGACTATTTTAACATCGTATACTGCAAATTTTTAATCGGACACTCATGTTGTAATCGTACAACACCCTCAACCGGTCGTCCAAGACTTCCAACACCTCGGCTGATCGATCAAGATCGCTTCGATCTCAGACCTGCTCTATCCCACGTTGTGATTTAAGTTTGATCATAAGGAGGCCAAGATCGAATCGTCGCGGGTATCTTCGTGCCGGGTTGGTCCAAGCAGGGTGAAGATGTCCAGGGAAAATATAACACT